CAGAAGTATTTTCTAAAATAATTTATTGCAATTAAACTGAAAATCAAACAAAATTCTAGGTTGTAGGGTAACAACATTATTAGATTATCAGTGAGGGGTGAATATTTTGCAACCCGTTAAATATAAAGTAATGTTATTTTACAAGTTATGTAAAGTGAAGTTATGACCACATACAGTTTTGAAAAAAAAATGCATTAGCAACAATAATGTAATTTAGTAGAGAATTAAGAATTTCATATTTTCTATAAATGGGGTTTATATTAGTGATATTCATGTATTATTAAGATAAAATAATCTCAGGTTAGCACTCATGTTGGCAGCACAATATGAAAATTAACTATCTGCAGAATTTTAAACCAGCCTATTTCAGCACTCTGACTTTGTTTTAAAAGGTAAAAAATAAAAATTCACTGCGGGRAAAAACAGTAACATCTGTGCAAAAAAGAAAAGTGTGCAACCACACACCAAATACATTTTTTGAAGTAGTTTTCAGTTTGCTAAAAATGAAAACACACCCACTCTCTTATTTGTGCGGCTGCAACTCAAGTCCCAGGTAACAACATGTACTGTGCGACCTCATTTCAGGCCAGTTGTYAGCAAATTCAGCAGAACACTGAATSTGGCACAGATACTGCGTCTCACCCACCTGTGACCAGACTGGAAACAACAAGAGGCAAAATAAGCATTTTCAGCATCCTCATTAAGATCTCCCCGGGGAAGGCGATGATCATTATAACGTCAGGAGGGAGCGGTGATATGTGCCGCAGAAGCATGCCGGCGATGGAACCAAGAAACACACCTGTCAAATTGAGAAAGCACATAATAAACACAACGCCAGGTGACTCTGAGCCATGAAATAAAACATTTTATGTACTTGTATTCTAAAGAAATGTGTCAAGTGGAATACCATGTCATGCTCCTTTGAATGTTGTTTCACATTACATCCCACCTGAGAGCCACTGAGCTTAGCTATCTACAAAAACAGCTTTATTTTTGTGATGAATAAAGCCCCACACATTTAGCTACTCAATGAATCACATCGAAAAAGTAGGTTAATTAAGTTGTTTTTAATATTTTATTTATCCAATCCTTATGTTTCTAGGAAAATAATAACAATAATGTGCAACAGCATAAATAACATTAACCATATTTTGTTCTAATTATGTCAAATATTTAAGATATTTGGAATTTCAGTGTGTTCAAGTGCAGTTTTAATAGAAATAACCATATTTCTTATGGTATTTTGTAAAAGCACATCACTGTGCTTAAGACAAAATTGTCCAAAATGAAGTTGCTTTCGGTTGAGCTCGCGTGTTTACACAATGTGTGGGTGAATTTTCCTCTGATGTTCCAAGTTCCTCTCACCGCCCAAAGACATGCAGCTGCTCTCATTTTGGACGCCAGGTGCAGCCATTAGTTCTCCACCGATTGCACATGCAGGGCACGATAACAGACACATGGCTCTCTCACCTGATATCGCCCATGGGTTTAAAACGCTAGATGAACATTGTAATATTTGATAGGATGTTTTATTCAACCTTTTTTTGTTGTTGTTGCAAAGGAATGTATTTACTTTTAAAAGATGCATAATGTATATATAATTACATCATAAAAGGTCACAGCTTCACATCAGTTTTTCAGAGTCTCTGAAGAATGCACACTATCGATTACTGTGATAAGATAAAGAGACATTAAACCTTTGCTGGAATGTGAAGATTCCTAAAAAGCAAAATAGATAAAGAAATATTGCATGTCTAAATAAGCATGCAATCTAACAGCTAAACCCATTAGCTATTGTAATATAATGTAACCTGAGCACAATAAATTTGTATATATTAACACTTTAATTAAACCTGATCATATTTGACATGAGTTAGCCAGGAAAAGTTATGAGCTTCTTCTTACATGGAGAGCTAAACATTTGCAGTTGGGAGAAGGTACCACCTTAAATTAAAATTTAATTAGGAACAACCTATCAAGTTAATATTAACCACCAAGCTACTATTGTAATTTAACAGCTGACAATTTAAATGTGTGAAAAACCAGAAATTACCCTTTTCTACAGTGGTTTGCAAAAGTATTCATACCCCTTGAACTTTTCCATATTTTGTCACATTACAACCACAAACATAAATATATTTCACTGGAATTTAATGTGAAAGACCAACACAAAGTGGTATACAATTGTGAAGTGGAAGCAAAATTTTACATGAATCAAAACATTTTTTACAAATAAAAAACTGAAAAGTGCGATGTGCAAAATTATTCAGCCCCCCTGAGTCAATACTTTGTGGAGCCACCTTTTGCTGCAATTACAGCTGCAAGTCTTTTAGGGTATGTCTCCACCAGCTTTGCACATCTAGTGACTGCAATTCTTGCCCATTCCTCCTTGCAAAACAGCTCAAGCTCAGTCAGATTGGATGGAGAGCGTTTGTGAACAGCAGTTTTGAGATCTTGCCACAAATTCTTAATTGGGTTTAGGTCTGGACTTTGACTGGGCCATTCTAACACATGAATATTCTTTTTTTTAAACCACTCCATTGTAGCTTTGGCTTTATGTTTAGGGTCGTTGTCCTGCTGGAAGGTGAACCTCCGCCCCCAGAGCATGATGCTGCCACCACCATATTTGACAGTGGGGATGGTGTTTTCAGAGTGATGTGCAGTGTTCTTTCTCCGCCACACATAGCGTTTTGCATTGTGGCCAAAAAGTTCAATTTTGGTCTCGTCTGACCAAAGCACCTTCTTCCACATGTTTGCTGTGTCCTCAACATGGCTTCTGGCAAACTGCAAACRGGACTTCTTATGGTTTTCTTTTAACAATGGCTTTCTCCTTGCCACTCTTCCATAAAGACCACATTTGTGTAGTGCACGACTAATTGTTGTCCTGTGGACAGTTTCCCCCACCTGAGCTGTGGCTCTCTGCATTTCATCCAGAGTCACCATGGGCCTCTTGGCTGCCTCTCTGATCAGTGATCTCCTTGTTCGGCCTGTAAGTTTAGGTGGACGGCCTTGTCTTGGCAGGTTTACTGTGGTGCCATACTCTTTCCATTTCCGGATGATGGATTGAACAGTGCTCCGTGAGATGTTCAAAGCTTGGGAAATCTTTTTATWACCTAAGCCTGCTTTAAACTTCTCCAAAACCATATTCCTAACCTGTCTGGTGTGTTCTTTGGACTTCATGATGCTGTTTGCTCCCAATATTCTCTTAACCAACATCTGAGGCCGTCACGGAGCAGCTGTATTTGTACTGAGATTAGATTACACACAGGTGGACCCTTTTGAGTCATTAGCAGTCATCAGGCAACTTCTGAATGCAATTGGTTGCACTCAGGGAAAAGGGGGCTGAATACTTTTGCACGTCGCACTTTTCAGTTTTTTATTTGTAAAAAATGTTTTGATTCATGTAAAATTTTGCTTCCACTTCACAATTGTATACCACTTTGTGTTGGTCTTTCACATTAAATTCCAGTGAAATATATTTATGTTTGTGGTTGTAATGTGACAAAATATGGAAAAGTTCAAGGGGTATGAATACTTTTGCAAACCACTGTATTTTTTACATGGAGCCCAGATTTGATAATATTCAATTTTTTCACTGATTTTATTAATCACTTTAGCTCTTGATTGTCAAATGGTTTAGCTTGCATTCATCTTAAGATGGAGAGCAAACCCAGTCTACTTTGGTTGGTCACTTTGTCACCCTGGCTGTGAATGGTGTGCAGCCGATATTCCTGTACTGACACTTGATGTGACTAGTTTTGATAAGTAATTTAAAAATATATATCAAAGATTCAAAAATGTCAACTCATTCTGGGTTTCGTTTGGGAAAAACACAGCAGATTTGAAAGGTCTTCCAATAGAAAATCAAACTTTTTGTATCAAGATAGAGGCTTTTCTAGCCTCTCTTTACACATCACCATGGTTATGGTAAGGGGAGGTAGATAAGGAGCATACTGTATATGAGGATGGGCAGGGCTCAAAATTGGCCCATTGCTCAATCCCCAAAAAGACACAGCTCAAACCATTGGAAAGAGGTCTTGCACTATTCATGGCTTTAATTTTATGCCACAGATCATTGTCATGGAGTCCCATCACCATTTTGTGGTGGTTCAGCAGTTTGGGCCCAGTTAGAACTCCAACCAGTGTAAGTAAAAGTTTTCCTTGTCAGGGTCACGATGCAATGTGTTTCACTCTAACATGATTAGAAACTATCTTGATATGTGAGCATTTCTTTCTCCATTTTGTCTGGGTCACCACAGACATGCAGAGTATCCATCCTGTATCCCTTAAAACCTCCCATCTCTCTGAACGTTCATTTATTATTCTAAAAACAACCTGCTTTCTGTGTGCATCCATTGTTCCTTCCTCACACCAAAGCCTGCTGGGAGCTCTCAGTCTTTGGGATGTTTCATCCACGCACCTGTTCTTGCCCACATTTTTTTTCTGGTGACCCACTTCATAACAAAGCAGTCTCTGGTTTTGGATTTGCCTTTAAGCCTACGAGTCCCTGAACAGGTAATATGAGAATTGAGGATAAGGGAAATGTGTGCGTGTGCATGGACTCTAAACTTACCAAGGATTGTAAGAGTGAGAACCATGTTCTTCATTATCTTTTCACAGAAAGTGCTACATGGATTCTCAGGAGTCTCCATGATGGGGTCTATGTGGCCCTCGCTCATCCTGACCTCCACTTGCTTCTGCATTTTGTTGGCACTGAAAGAAAGAAAAAAAGTGCTGGTAGTTTTGATTGCAGTAATAATATAAAACATTTCTGTTATGGTCAGATGGTGTTGATTCAGGTTTAGTTTGTATCTGCTTGTTGTGTTATACTTTTATTTCTTGTATCTGTCAGATTTACTAGTTGCACTCTGCTTCCTTTATCATGTTCTTAATTACAACACCTGTTCTGTTCCTTGTTAAATCACACAAAGTCATCCCAGATATCTCCCAAGACAATATCTTCCTAAACATTTTTAAAACATGTGTGGTCTTAATCTTGACTTTATCCTAAGTTTTGTTTAGTATTTTGTAGGTCTGAGATTTCTAGACATGGCAAAGTCTCTGAGATTGTTTTTGTCCACAAAGCTCTTGAATGGTCAACACGGAACTCCTGCCTTTTCATCTTTAACATTTTGTCCTTCTTTGACTTATCTCAATACAAAATATCTGTGTCCCATGTACTCTATGTTCACCACAGAACAGCATAGCACAGGATTGAACATTATTGTATCCCAACTCTAAATTGGTGCAACCACTTTGTTGTGGTGACATTGCTGTGATTTGCATGACCCACATGAAGACACAATATTCCACACAGGACACTGTTACAGGAGTAAATATCGGTATCTGTAAATCAATTCTAAAGTCATTGTGCAATCTGCCATGCTTGTTTCATCCGAAGTTTACATTTAATCTTGCCACTACAGCTCAAAACTGCACTACTGGAGCAACATACTGAAAGATGAAGAAAGAAACAAACCAAAATTTGGACCCCATCTGCTACTATCGATATGATCCGGTGCAAATGTTGGTTCAGTAATATCAATATTTGGATTTATCCACATATCCCTATATCAGTGACATAAAATCCAGATGAACTGAAACATGACTGAAGTCACTAGATATGTAAGATTTGGGTGACATATAATTCGGGACACTTTTGCCTGCAGTGCAAACACAACCTTAGAAGCAACCAGAATGCTTGGAGTCATCCCAGTTTATTTTATTTACCGTTATTTTACCAGGCAAGTCCCATTGAGATCTCAGATCTCTTTTTCAAGGGCGGCCTGGAAGCAACCTATTGTACATATTTTGGGGGTGGGGGAAACCAGAGTACCCAGAGAAAGTCCACATAAGCACGAGGAGAATATGCAAACTCCACACAGAAAGACCCCAGGTCCAAACCGGGGATCAAACCCAGGACCTTCTTGCTGTGAGGCGTCGGTGCTAACCACTGAGCCATCGTGCTGCCTTAAGTTGCCTTTAGTTTAAAATGTCCACCGCAGCTAACCAATGTTAGCAAACAAATAAAATAATTATAACTCAGTCATTAATACAGATATTCAAATTCAATTTGTTGTGGTAGCTGAGAGTCATTAACAATACATACTCCTAAAGGAGGTCACATGACTTTAATATTTTGCTATGAAAGGCAGCAGATATTGAAGACATTTTACATTGTTTTTTTTACATTACTAATATAAATTAGCATAATTTAAACTTGCACTGATGTCTTCTTATGTATTTGTCAGCTACGGCTTCCAGTAGATTATGCATGATAATTTGAGTTACATTGATTTTTTTCCATACAAATCAAAATGGAGAGCACATTTTTTTATCACAGATGAATGAAGAGTTAATTGCAGACAGTGTGAAGGTGTGAGGGTATCCCCAGAGTTTGATAAATGCGTTAGAGATTCTGAATGTTGACTTTGATTCATCCAACTATGCATTTTCTTCTCTCTTTTTTAAATCCAAGGCCTCATCGTTTCTCTAAAGCAACATGTACAGTACATGTTTGTTGTGAATTAAATTAAAGCCTCTTTGACTAAAGATCAACGCTCCCCTCAGTGGCCTTTAAATCTCCTGCAGAACACAGACGTACAGTTATATAACCATGGATGCCTCTGGTCACCTGGACAGTCTTGACCTTGATGCCTCCTGGATCATCAAAGTCACTGGCAAAAATTGCTTGATTTATTTTTTGTAAATTTAGAAGAAAAAAAATCCCTGCTGAAGAAATATTTTATGCTGATAACAAATTGAAGTAAATTGAGGGGGCAGACAGGTGGAATTAAGTTTGAATGAACTTATTTTGGTTGTTGAAAGATAAAGAACTCATCATCACACATTCAATCAAATGTCTGAAGATCCAGTATTTGCAACACATTTTTTACTAAACATTTAAAAAGAGGAATAGAAGACGCGGACAAATGCCAAGCCAATCAAGCCTGTCTGATACACGGTGCTCTGGAAATAATGAGACTTAAGCTAATTAGCAAGCCTAGAATTAGCCCTTATGCCCTGGCACAAGTGATTGAGTTATGCAACAGAAAAGGGGCTTCCCAAGAAAAGTCAAGGTATCACCATCACCTGCCTGAATATTTGATCATTAATTTAACTTTCAAACATTATTAATAAAAACACTTTACTATAATTTGTATAGGTGGTATATAGTTATATATATAAAAAACTTAAACACCATCAGATGCCACAATTGCTAATGCATGTTGTTTTAAACAGCTGTGCGGTATCAAATATAAATTCTGTGTCCCTTAAAAATCTTTAGATTGCAGGAATGCATGCAATGTTCATTAAAAATCACACAAATATACCAAACAAGACATTTAGCTGTGAGATTGATTTTGCAGGGTCAAAGGCCAGAAGATAAGAATGCATCTTCTTTGTTTAAGACAAACTTCCTTGTGCAACACAAACTACAATGCATGTAGAAAGGGACACAAAAAGACTGTCAACAGATATCAGCTTGCATTTGATTTGATTTGATTTACTTATTTAACAGGAAAAGATTTTTAAAAATCAAGCCTGACTCTGCATAATTTGCATTTTTACAGCAGGTTCCTGTTCWGCAGCACATAAAACACTCAGAAATACAGCATCAAAATCACATCATTATTATTTCACCATAGACACAAAGACAAACAAGCATACAAAAAGGCAGCATTTGCAAAATAGGACGTCTAAATATGAGCACAACAAAAAGTGTCCAGCAGATGGAAGACAAGATTATTCTTAAAGGGCTGTAGTTTTGAAATGGACTTTATGTTTTGAGGAATGTCATTCCATGCTTTAGTGTAAACATAGAAGAAAGACCTCTGGCCGTAACCGTTTTTAAAAGTTGGTAATATCAGTTGTCCTTTTGTAACAGATCTAGTTGAATGACCACTTCCAGAATTTGATTTGGGCAGCAATGCACAGAGAGTTCCATAATTGGCACCTTGGAAGATCTGAAAATATAAATTAATACCACTATACAAAACATAATTCTGAAAAGTCAAGGCATCAGACAATGAAAGAACTGTACAGTGATGAGTCCAACCAGGAAGGTTTTTATGAATTTTGTAGGCCCTGTTGTAGAGCCTAACTATGGGTTGTAAGATATCATTTGTTGTGAGAGACCAAACAGGTAAACAGTACGGCATGGTTGAGAGTATAATGGCATGAAGAGATATTTGAAACAGAAGATGTCAGATTGGATCTAATTTTTGAATAAACGTATGATTTCTGTTTCAACTTAGTGGTTAAGACTTGTACATGATCATGATAAGTCAAATGAGAATCCAAAGTAATTCCAAGATATTTGTAGGTAATGACAATATCAAGGGGTTTGTTTAAAAAAGTGAGTTGATTTGTTATATTGAAATGTCTCCTGGGTGAGGTAAAATACATGCACACAGTTTTTTTTAACATTAATTGACAAAAGATTATCTTGAAGCCAACCATGAAATGTCTGAAGATCTGCTTGTAACTGACTATTAATGGATTCAATATTGAAATCAGACAAAAAAGAACAGCATCATCAGCTTACATTAAAATATTTGAATACTTCAATATTTTTGGAAGGTCATTTATGTATAATAGGAAAAGCAATGGGCCCAGTATGCTACCCTGCGGAACTCCCACAAAACAGGGCAAAGACCCGGACACAGAGCTTCCATGTTTCACAACCTGACACCTATCAGTCAAATAAGAGGAAAACATTTGTATTGCAGATGATGAAAGTTGAAAAGAAATCAACTTGTGTAAGAGAGTATAATGATCAACTGTGTCAAACGCTTTACGAAAATCAATATGTACAGCACCAGTTACTTGGCCTGTGTTCAAAGCAGCACGTATTTGTTCAGTGAATAAAATTAATGCAGACATGGTTGACCTTGACGTGCAAAAACCATGTTGGCTATTGGTTAGCATATTATTAGCTTCTAGATGCTGAAGTAGTTGATTAAATTATGTTTTTTCAAGTAACTTAGAAAAATAGGAAGAACAGAAATTGGCCGATAGTTTGAAACTTCTGTTGGATCACCAGATTTAAAAATGGGAATAATCTGAGCAAACTTCCAGGCATCAGGGAAAATAGACTGCACAATACATAAATTAAGCAAACGATGGAACAATGGTAAAAAAAATGTTGGCATGCATTTTCAAGAAATCCATATTTATCTTATATTTGTCAAATGCATGYGAGCCATTTAGAGATTGGAGTGTATTCAAAACATCACTCTGTGAAATTTCAGAAAATGWAAATTGCTTTGAAGTGTCARGATATTTAAATAACTTTAAACTATTAGYTTGTCCCGGTAATGATGTCCTTACTGAAGAAATAAAATATTCATAAAATAAGTTAGCAATTTTTTTCATGATCAGAAACAAGAAGTCCATTTACAGAGATTTGTGAATTGTTATTAAATGTTTTATTGTTACTTTCACCTGTCACTGACTTAATCGTTTCCCATAATATTTTTGGACTCTTATTGGCGGAAATAATTTGATTTTTAAAATATTGTTGTTTGGCTTTGSGTAATTCAGCAACACATTTATTTCGGTAACTGTTTAAACGAGACCGATTTTCAGAAGTTTTTGATTTTCTATAAGTTTTCATTGAAGAAGCTTTCAACTTTAGGAGATGTATTATAGAGGCATTCAACCATGGGATTTTATTTTTCAGGACTGGAACTTTACAAGCTGAAATATATTTTTCCTTGATTGTCTCCAACTTATAAAAAAATTCACAAAATGCGATTTGGATTTGACAGAGAAATACCCTCATTCCGGTTAGTATTCTCAATCTCAGCATGAAACATGGGTAACTTTGATTTTGGAATCCTTTTAATGAAATTATGCAAATGACCTGTAGGTTTCTTAAGTTTTTTTCTAATGACATAAATAAGTAAATGATCTGAGATTGAAGCATTTATAACTCCAGATATGCCATATATGGAGGATCGATTTGTGAAAATAAGATCCAAAATGGAATCACATAACACTTTATCTTAAATGCCAGTTATTAAAGTATTACTGGTAAACTTACCAGCTGTTTTTCACTCAGGTCTGAATCTGCACTTGTGARGAGTTTTCACACAGCCAGTCTAACCAGTGAACACATGAGCACAGTCATGGTTCATGCAGCAGGAACCCAAAAATGCCTTTAGTCCGTTGAGTTCTTAAAAAAAAAAAACAGGAAAAGTCTTTAATCACGTAATGTTCAGTTTTTTGTTTTTTTTTTTGTTTCCAAAATCCCAGTCAAAGATCCCCGCTCAGTCAGCTGCATAAAAGTGTGCAGACGTAAAGTGGTGGAGGTGGAGGTGTGACTGAGGGCTCCCAGACAGGAAGGGTGGAGTCAGCTCTAAGATTAGCAAAGGAGTGGAAATCCTTGCTGGCAACATTTTTCATTGAGTTAGTTCTTTTTTTCTCTGGTTTTGTTTTGCTCATTTTTGTTGATGTTGTTCAGTGAGAATTATTGCAGCAAAGATGACTCTGACAGCAAATTGAACAATGTACTTGAAGCAGCAAAACATGAGGACTCCTCATATGATTTATGAAAGGTCTGCAGAACTTTAAATATAAAAATGTTGTTAAAGCAATAAAAATACACATTTAAAAGGTTTCAATTAGAAGTTTGCAAACCAAATTATTTGTGATGCCATACGTTTTAGATAAAAACTATAATATACTGAATGTTTGTTTTCAGTTAAACAGTTTTAACAGAAAATTATGAAACACTAACTTTTGGATAAAATGCTTTGAGGGGGCTCATTTTGCAGAATGAATTTTACAAACCAACGCACAACTGAAACACAAAGGAAAGCTAATTTGTGAATACTCAGAAACATATCCAAGAAATTTATGTAAATGGAATATTTTCTGATTTATTTTAAGGTTTTAGAATTCACAATGCTTCTGAGAAAATGTGTCTACAAACTCTGAAAAAACCCAAATTTGATCAACAATAAATTAATTTTAATATGTCTTAAACATTAAAACCCTGAATGCATTTGCATTGCTCCTAGTTTCAGTTTATTTATTTATTTATTTTACTGATTCAGTAAAACACATCCATATATACTATAGTAGCAGGAACTTGCATAGTCACATCTCCTTAGAGCAGCTTTGTCACTGAGTGGCCTCAGTGGTTGAAGGTGACATGACCTCTTTTGCTCTCAGCTACGCCGACTTGTGAGGGTTTAAAAACAAACAGCAATTTATTCGTAATTTGATTTGATCACTTGAATCATTTTATTAAAGTGTAAAAACAACTGCATGTTTTCCACACATTAGATTTATTTAAACAATTGTCATAAGAGATTTTTTCCTGCCTTCTAAAAATGATCAAACCCCCAACATTATGCTTTATATACCACACAGTTATGCACAACTGTGCTGAACTTGTTGCAATAAAGTGTGAATGATTCAAATTTGAATTCTTCTGCATGTGCAAGAGGTGGAAAGCCAAACAAGGAGCAAATGGCAAAACCTGTTCTTTTTTAATGCAGTTTTGTGCTAGTTGCACCACCTTTTCCCTCCCCTGCAACAAGCTGCACCTCATGCTGCAACACCTGACAACACAAGTCCACGCTTAGGCAGCGCATGTCTATAATTACTTAATCTGTCCTGAGCCATCCTAATGCCAGCACACATACACACCAGAGAACAAGCCTGCAGCTGTGAAACCTCGGGAAAAAGTTTCTTGGAACCATAAGGAATCCTTCGTCCTTTAACAAACAAGTAAAATTAAAAAAATTAAATTAAATTAAAATTGATCTGTATTTAAGATTGTTTTTTTTAGCTTCCATGATACATTTGATGAATCCAACTTTGCAAACACACTGAATGTTACTGGTCAATATGTTGCACACAACAACAAAAAAGAGACTTTTTTATTTTTATTTTTTACATTTTGTAAAATACACCAGACTTTCTAATCAAAATCTTCTTATGTTGAGAACTGAATTATAGCTGTCTTGGTGAAACCTTGAAAATAAAATTAAGTATGATGTCATGGAATATGACAGAATCTTACACGAGCTATTAGTGCTCAATCCATGTCTTGGTAATGACTCTCATCCACTACCATACCCAATTTTAGGTCATTATCTGTAAAACTGATGGGATCACAACCATTTAGCTTGGTCTAATGCCAATTAACTGTGAGAGTGATACTGAATTGGGCAGACCGTAAAAGTTAATGAGTTGTACATTAAATGATTACATCTAAATGTTCCAATAAATCCATCCAGAGGTACTTGAGCTTTACTGCTTTACAGTTTTATGGTATGACATATCTTTCATAAATGCTGGATTGCCTAAATGGAATAAAGCACATGATGAGGAAAAGGGAGACTGACACTTTCTGCAGTTTTATAATAATTTATGTTATGAAAACTAAAAAAAAAGGCAGCAAATTTTTGGTTTTGCGCTCAGACGTGGCTTTGCATCATAGCATTTAGTACTACAGCTGAATGCATTCAGACACTTTTAATAAAAAAAAAACTATTCAAAACTTACATGCTATCATGATATAGTAATCTTGTGTTTATGAAAAAAGTTTATTTTTCCTAGTTTTCTTAACAATATTGCTATTTTGTTTTTATGACATATTTTGCTTTTTATAAAAAGATATGGCTCAAAAGTCATTTTCTATCATGTGACAGCTCTATGCTTCTGTACAGCTGATGCCAAAGTTTAAGGCGAACATGTTGCACAATGAGTGATGCTCACAGTATGTGTTGGAAAAGTCTCCTGGCTACTTACGCACCAATTTTTAGCTCAATATTTGTAACACTGACTGAGTTAAAACCATTTCTTGCAACATCACTTAGCGGCGGCAGCCATCTTAAAATGGAAGTGCACACACAGACACATAGACAAAACCAATTCTGATTGCCTTCTGTTGGCAATAATTCTAAAGAACAAATTTCTATGAGTCTTACAGTCTATGAGTTGAGCAAAGCACATAATAAAACTAAATATTTACTTTGTTGTTTGACAAAAAAAAAATTAAAAACAAGTTGAGTAAAACAATGAGGAGCGTTTTATAGTGAATCAAATTGACAGCAGCTGTATGGAAATTTCTGGCCTCGGCGGAGACGTGTGATCTATTTATTCCACAAATCAAAGGAAGCCTAATTCAAAAAGCTCTGTTTGTTTTTAGGAACCAAACAGATTTAATGAAGCTATTGATGTTTGTCATTTGTCCTCAAATTTTTATCCCCTCTTCATTATGTTTTCTCATTTAGTCTGTGTTTTGTTTCACACAAATGGAAATAAATAAATAATAATCAGTTATGAACACTTTTTCTTTGTATTTATATTTAGTAGTTGGAGTCAAATGACTCAAATACTTCACAGAGTGCTTAATGGGCAGTCATTGCCTTCTCAAATTAGGGATCTATTGTTCTAAAATCCAACAAATACAACCACATTATTTTTTGTTTTAAGGTTTTGGAAAAAAATGATCTAACCTGAGTTTTATTTTTTCAATGTGAAATCCTTGTTCAAAAGTTGCAGAACAAGCCGTGCTGCCACAAACACACTCAAACACACTGAATGAGCTTGGCTAGAAATCACTGCGCACCGCTGATGATTATGCATCAGTGCTGATTTTAATGACATCTGTCTCAAAAGAGCAGGATTTCAAAGCTAGAACTCATCTCCAGCTTCTGATTAAGGGAGTTAATTGCTCTTATTTATGCAGGAGATGTACAATTAAAAAAATGGACAAGAAGCACTTCAGTTGCTCTGCCATCATCGCCCCTCTTGAAAGTGAAGCAGGGAAGGAAATGTTCATTTCTACTCATCTCGTCCCTCATCACACAGAATCAGACCAAACAAGATGAAATTATGTGGATGCTCTCGTTTTATGTTTTCACCAAAATTTAAGCAAGAAAACCGATATTAGCTGCAATTTTTTGCAATCAAAAGTTTGTTCCTGAAAGACAAAATATCTGAAAAGATGTATGTACTCTTCTGGTGGCAAAAATAATGAAATTACAACTGAAATAGCTCTAAGGAATTGTTTTCTATTTAAAATATGCATGTATCTTGTTTAGTTTGCTTGTTTGACTTTTTAAATTGGCTGCTGTAAGAAAATGTTTTTTTTTTGTAAAAAGCTGAGGAAATGAAATATTTTTATTCCTTCTTTAATAACTTTGGAATGAAGATGATTAATTATCTTTTAAATGTGAAAACAAACCTTTACCATCTAAAGATCTTTGCTGTGACTTTTACTAATAGGAAAGTTTAAACTTTAAATGCTTTGAAGCATTTATACGTGATTTTATGAAAAATAAAAAAAAGCTTTCTCAAACGTTTTGACCCTTTAAATGCATCTTGCTGTAACAGTAGATTCATTTCCTGTTTAAAGGCAAATATCACAGCTAAAGCATATGGATTATACAGTAGTTTTGTGTTCAGTGAAGTACCAAAGTATTATTTAAAATGGAAATATATTTAGTGTAAAGACGTGAACATTTCTGATTAATTAGAAAACATTTTCTAATCAAAATGATTGCAGACAGATGTTTTATGTTTGTGGACTTTTGCTGCCATTTGTTTTATTTGTCTAAATAGAAATTATAAAATAGATATTAATCTAAATCTGAATTGTTTGCTGTTAATAATTTTAMTAATTAACATCTAGTTGTAAAATTACACTGACACCTAATGTATGCTCAGCTGTTGAGAGGATTATGGGAAGCCATCAGTGCCATGGATGTGTGACCAGTGGGGGACTGGTGAGGAAAAGTGGAGTTTGAAATGGACTGGCCTTTAGCTGCAGGGTTAAAGTCATTTAGACTTCAACATGATTTTGTTAAAAGTTTTGTTTGAAACAATACCGTTTACAATACAAGTGTTTATTTGAGACATATACAGTAGTTTGTACCAGTGAAGCTAAGATGTATGTTTTTGGTCTGTGAGAGAAAACTGGGGTAACTGGAGAAAACCCACTTATTCACCACCTATAAGGTCCCAGGCTGGGATCTGATCCAGCAACAGAAACAACAGTTCTACCAACTGAGCCACCATGTTGTCAAATTTTATATATGCATCATTTAGAAAGCTGGTGAAGATTGTCAGTCATGATCAGACCAAAAAAATGTTAAAAACAAACAACTGGACTTATTTTTGAGTTCTAACCTTTTGAGAGCTTCATGAAGGTTTCCAAGTCTGTTGAAGGCCTTGACCCTCAAGACGTTTCAACTGAACTGTCCTGT